TGCACAGCCTCCTGTGTCCCACGGCCTTTGTCTTTCCTTTCTCAGCCAGGAAACCTGAGCTGGTCATCCCTTTCCGCCCTCTCTGCACTCTCTTGGAGACTCAAGCCCATATCTGGCTCTCCTGGCCATGATTCCTCTCCACTGTGCAGTATAGATTTGGTGCTATAGGTACAGAAGCAGGCACCCAAATGAGCCACCCAGCCCTGAGTCCTGAGGAGGCTTCTGATCTCTAGGTGATTCTAGAGATCAAGTGAATAGCCAACATGGCTCGGGGGTGGGGGGACGGTAACCCAGACAGGGTTTCTCTGTGTAGCCCTGGTTGTACTGAAATTCACTCTGTAGACCAGGAAGGAGGACCTTGAACTCAGAGATCTGCCTGCCTCTGCCTCCCAAGTGCTGGGATTAAAGGTGCGCGCCACTACCACCCAGAAGAGCCGATGTTAACTGTCACACACAGGAAACACACAAGTCCGCCATACTCATGTTAGCGGTGATCAAACCATGACCAATATTACTTTCCCTCTACCAACTCACATGATTTTAATCATTTCACCAATAAAAAGTCCAGAATGAGAAGCGTGAAGGACTTCTAAAATTACGTGACTCTCACAACCACCGCTACTCTGGCTGCGAGAGGATCACCTATTTGTACCAGGGTAGAAAGAGGCAGGTATCAAATCCCATCTTAAATTTGAAAGAGCAGTTTTCATAACTGAACCAGGACCAGAGGCCTTGGCTGCAGGCCAGAGTCTTCTGTGTGATCTTTCAAGCTTGCTCTGTAACAGTTATGAGGCTGGGCCAGCATGCCTCCGTGCATGTCACCAGAATGGGCTTCAGCCAGTTTCCTGCTGTCTCTGGCCTGCAGCCTGTGCACCACCATCTCCTTGGGGCAGGTTGTGCTTGCTTTATATCAGTCCTCTCCGAGCTTCAACCCTCTTCACAGGATTCTTCTCCAGGACTGTGGCCTGGCCCCACATCAGCTGCAGTACTTAGCCTTCCTCTTCCCCTCCCAGGTCCATCTGAAGGCAAGGGCCTTTTGCCAGTCCTTTAGCAGGGAGATAGCCCCATCTGCATGTTAACTGGTTCTTGCTTTGTGTCATCAGGGCCAATGGCAATGAGGAGCTGGCAATTCCTTCCTTCTCGTCTGCCTCTTACTGACTGACTCTTGGGAGATATGACACAGGCTTAGTTATGACTGGTGCCCTGGTCACCCATCTTGATGCAGCAAGTTTACTGCTCATGGACCTTCTGAGTCTCATCAGTGAGACCATCTTCCTTGCCCCACCCAGCATCTGCCCCTTAGCTCATGACTCTGTTTTGTTTGTTTCTTGCCCTGAAAAATCCCACCCCCACCCCAACTGATCCTGCCCGCTTGCTCGTATCCCTCACTTAGTGTTTCATGCCCACCACTCTCCCAACAACTTCCAGGCTGCTCTAGATGCCCAAGCAGACTCTGGTGTCACTGGATTCCTAGCAAGACCATGCTGTAGGAGGGGTGGCTGGATCTTTCTGTGATGCAGCTACTGATGACCATTATGTGGCCAGTAGCCTCCTTCCTTTGCTACCTGCAGTGTGTGTAAAGAAGCCTCCAAAGTTGTTTGGTCACGCTGATGCAGGCCGTCTGGGAGGGGAGGATAAGGATGTGGGTCTTCGTTTTCATAGACTGGCTTCCCAAACGGGTTTCCTAGCATCTTAGGTGAGTCACAGATTTTTAAAGGGCAACCACAGATTTATGGGTTTAAACTTGTTATGTTCCAGTTCATTAAACGCACCCTGCTGATAGCGAAACGTTCCCTTCTTTATACAGTGCAGCCCATCTGGGTCATGCCTGAGTCAGTCTCCATGAGCATCTTTGTGGCCACTTGGTTGTCTAGCACAGAAAGACCTTCCAGGGTCATCTTACTCATCTTGTGCTCTCTCCATCCCAGGCTGCCTTTTAGAAGAGTTTCTCTCGCTCCGTAAGCAATTCGGTGTTCAGAGACCAATGTGTGGACTTTAGGAAAACTTGTCACTGTTCGGTTAAACCTCTGTGCTGAGGCTTTGTCAGCGGACAGAGCTAAGAAAGATTTTGATTATTTTTAAGGCGAGATAAGTATAAACAGACACTTTTGGTTAAATTCAGTTCCATGCTATGTCTACTTAATCTCAATCATGATTGCTCCACCCCCAGTACCCAGCAGTACTCGGTCATCCAATCCTCTCGTTCTCAGACACACAGCACTAGGGAGCAGGGCCAGTGCCAACCGTGGTTGCTGAAATAGTGCAGGCTTGTGTAATATTTTCACAGTGTTTGGATTGTATTGATATATAGGCAAAACAGCATTTTAAAAAATTTGGAAATGATTATTAAAAACAATATTTTGGGTCCTTCTTTTTGCTAGCAGGTTGAAAGGACTGGGTTTCATAATCACTTGTAAGAGTGGGCAGGCTGTGTTATCTACTGATAGTGCAGGTCAGCTAGCATTGTTTTGCTGTCACTGTTAAGAATTCTTAAAATTTAGTTTTGTACGGCCTGGTATGGTAATACACACCTTTAACCCTAGCAATCAGGCAGAGACAAGTGGATCTCTGAATCCCAGGATGGCCTGGTTTATATAGAGTTCAAGGCCAGCCAGATCTATACACTGAGACTCTATTTCAAACAAGACAAAACAGCAGCAACAATGAAACCACAGGGCTAGAGAGATGGCTCAGAGGTTAAAAGCACTTAATCTTTCAGAGGACCAGAATTTGGAACTTAGCACTGATATTGGATGGCTCACAACCACGTGAAACTCTAGCTCCAGGGTACCCAATGCTTTCTTCTGCCTCTGAAGACATCCATGCATCTCTCTCTCTCTCCTTCTCTCCCTCCTATATTCCCTCCCTCCTTCTCTCTGACATGAACATACTTGAAAATAATAAATCTTTTAAAAATTAGTTTAATTTGGCAATTACAATGACATGTATGTGTCTCCAAAGCAAATCTACAAACCCAGATATATCCACTGAAGTCTAGCTTCTGCTCCTGGCTCCTGGCTCTTCCCCCCATTTACACCCTCTGGCTAATAACATAATCAAAAACAATATAGTTATCTTTGGTTTAATGTATGTGTCACCATCGCCTGGTATTGTTTTCATTATATATAATTTATATATGAAATATAAATAATTTCCTGTGTAAAACACAAGATTACTGGGCATGGTAACACATACCTGTAACTTTAGAACTTGAAAGATAGAAGCAGGAGGCTCAGAAGTTCAAGGCCAGCCTCAGCTGAAAGAAACTCAGTCTCCAGAAGAAATAAAGCCAAACAAACAAACAAACAAGCTTCATAAGCCCCTGGCTCCATATAAACAAGATATAAATTATCTGGGCATGGTGTCACACACCTGTAATCGCATCCCACTGAGGCGAAGGAGCGTGAGTTTTAGACTAGCCTAGGTTATATAGTGACATCCTGTCTTTAAAACTTAAATTAAGGAAAAGTATAAAAATTAAAAGAATATAAATTGTCTGGGTCTGGAGGCACGGGCATGTTTTCCCAGACTGATCTAGAGGCTAGTACCAGGAGATCACTTCAAGGCCTGCCTGAGAGACTTAGGAAGATCCTATGTGAAGATCAAGGGAAAAAGGAGGGCTTGGGTTATAGCCCAGGGGTAGAACACTTACTGAGCATGTGTGAGGTTCCAGTACACTCTATCAAACCCATATACATACATACATACATACATACATACATACATACATACACACACATACATACATACATACGTGTATCCACCTGTACATACACGCACACACATGCATACATAAACATGTTTAGAAATAGATTTGTTTGTTTGTTTTCCTAAACAGGGTTTCTCTGTGTAGCCCTGGCTGTCCTGGAACTTGCTCTGTAGACCAACCTGCCTCGAACTCAGGGATTTGCCCACTTTCACCTCCCAAGGGCTGGATTAGATCTAAGACACAGAATGTCTTCTTGTTTCTTACAGCTATGCAGTGTTCCACGGCACCAGAATCCTTCCTTCAACCAGAGCCCCACAGATTGATGTTTGAGGCTTACAGGTTGTTGCCACTCTGGTCTGCACTACAATGCTGACCCTAAAGCATACGCTCGTCCCTTTCTCACTGTCTGTGGCTGATTCCTGGATAAGGAGGTTTGGGGGTCAAATGATAATTACAGCCCTCATCCTGCTCAACATGGCCAAGTGCTCCCACTGGGGTTTGTAATATCTTAGAAATCAATGAGTCATACCAGATGTCTTTCTGAGATTGTCTCAGACTCCTGGACTTGTGCCCATGTGAGGGAACAGTCAGGGCCCTGCAGAGAACTGGTGATTCGTATCTGTCTTTTCTCGACTGTGCTGGGGACCATTTTCATATCTGTAGCAGCCCATGTACTTATCTTCTTCTGCTTCTATTTCTATCATCAACCACATCTTGCTCAACCTCAGAGGAAGTGGCTCAGAGAGCTGATGACTCGGGTAGAGGAAAGGGTGCTGTGAGAACCTTCAGCTCTGTGTTTCTCAAGATGGCTGCCTCAGGGTATCTGTGGTACTGATTAAGCCAACCCCTGGCCCACCCAAGACACAGTACCTTAGTCTCCCCAAGCCAAAGGCTGATGTCCTGATGGGGGAGATAGAAAAGTCCCTTACAGAGGGACTTGCCCCACTTGGCTAGTGTCAAGCTTCTGGGTGGTGACCATTCCACTTGGAGCAGAGTGACATGTTCACTACCCACAACTCTCATGAGCTGGCTTGGTTTTGTTTTTGTTTTCCAAGACACCACTTCTCTGTGTCGCTCTGGCTGTCCTAGAACTCATTCCTGGTCTTGAACTCTCAGAGATCTACCTGTCTCTGCCTCTGGAGTGCCGGGATTAAAGGCATGCGCCACCACCGCCCGGACTGAGCTGGAATTTTTGGCCCACTAGATTTCTCTAGTCTGAGATCTCCGCCACAGTTCAGGACCTGTGGGCTTTCTCCAGCAGTCTGTCAGGATTCTGGATTAAGGGAGTAGCTAGAGGGGCCCTCAGACTAGAGGTGGGTTGAGTGGGGAAAAGTCTGCCAGAAAGGTATGACGTGTTCATGAAACTCCCTTGAGACCAGGAAACACAGTGGGTGGTTAGAGGGCTATGGTGAAAGACAGCATCCCCAGCAGTGGGTCTCATGTGAGGTCAGAGGCCAGCCTTCCAGTCAGAGAAAGGGGAAGGAGGACAGAGAGTGCGAACAAGTCATTCGAAGGGCGATGAGGCTCTGAAGAGGCAGGAACCTACGGCCTGGAGAGCACCCAAGGTCCCATCCCACTGCCCCGGAGGGAGTCCCAGATGGGTGTGTGGCAGCGCTGAAACTGAGCAGCCCTTTGGGAAGGCCCATCTGGAGCAGAAGAGCGCTGCCTGAGGTGAGTGCGTCCTTAGGGTCTCTGAGCTGGCACCTGCCCACAGCCAGCCTGTAGGTTGGGTTCAGAAGGTGAGGATGTTTTAGTTGTCTTTAGGACCCAGTTGACATAAACTGTCTGTGGGCATCAAGGGATGTATTGCCAGGAGGCTCCTGGAAGGAAGGATAGCAGCCATGGGTCTCGCAGGACATAGAGTCACTGCGGGAGGCGGGGGCTGGGCACCTACAGAAGAGGGGTGAGTGAGGCAGGAAGGACAGTGGGTGCCACAGCAGCCGCTCAGTCAGAACCCCCTCCACAGCTCAGGAACATCTCAGGACTTACTTAGAACTCTTGAAAGCTCCCCACAGGGACCCTCTCAGGATGTCCACGAAACCCTCTTGGGACTACTTCAGGGTCCTCTCAGACCTCCTCAGGATCCTCTAGAATGAGTGTCTCAGAATCTCTTCAGGACTCTGTCCTCAGGACCCTTTCATATGAATCCTCAACTCTCTTAAAGCCTCCTCAAAACTCCTTTGGCTTTCCTCTGGGCTCTCTAAGAGCCTAATCCAAGATTCTTTGAGGGTTCTTTAAGCCCTCACCATGTCTCTCAACCATCCTCTGGGAGCTTATTCCTAACAAAGTTTACAACCCCCTGCCCTATGGAAATCCTACCAGTAGAAGACCATGGAACTAGCATGGGCAGAGGCCAGAGCTGCCCACTGCAGAGATGGCCCAGTGCAACAGTTCCACATGCTGTTTAAGACGGAAGAGAGGCCGAGAAGATGGGGAGGCTGATGTGGGCAAGGCCACTCAGCCACACCAGGGCTGTTGTCATTGTGCCTGGGAATGCACTAACTGGCCACAGGTGGGGGAAGAAATCCAGCTTCTGGGAGCGAAGTCCTGAAGGGGCTTTCAGCATCACCTAGGAGAGGCAGCCAAGGAACGGCAGAGCCAGAGCCATCCTGGGGAGAGCGGGAGCCAGGAGCTTTACCCGAGGACTGCAGGACCCTGGGGGTCTCAGACAGGACAACTAGAGGATGACCCCCAGCACCTTCCCTGGAACTAAGATGGGTTCTTTCTGTCTTGGCCATGTTTTTGTTGAAATGATGGTTTTAAATTAGTCTGAGTAGAAAACGCAAGCCTGTCTGTGTGGCATGGCTGGTACCTAAGAGGGCTGAGTGAATCCAGGCCTAGTCAGGCCCTGCTCTCTCAGCTCCCCACCCCCACGCTCTGTGGAAGGCAAGCCTGGATAAATGATTGCATGAGAGGGTGGCCCAGATCTCAGAGGCACTTTTGTTTAGGAAAAGATATACAAAGTGACTGCAGCTTAATCCCTCCAGTCGCCTCCCACTCAGAGGAGACTTTGGCTTCCCCTGCCTCAAAACAAATCTCTTTCTATGGTCTGGGTTCTTGGTGCCATACCAGGAAGCTGGAGGAGCCTGGGCGGGGGTGGGGGCGTGGGGGGGTGTCCTTGTTCAGGAAGGCCAGGAGAGGCTGGGGTGCAACCATCAAGGGGCTATAAAGGGCAAGTCTCAGATTGAAGGGACCCCACAACAAAGTTACTGGCCTTGTGGCAGCATGTCTTTCAACTGCTTGGCCACCTTTCCCAGAAAACTGGCGGACTTTTCCATTCACAAACCGTCTCACAGCTGCACACTCGTTTCCGTATCCGTGTAAACCTACGGAGATTTTCAAATGCACAGAAAAGTGGGGGTAAGGCAGAGCTAACAGTGTCCCAGTTGCTCATCCCCACAGGGCCACCTCTGTCACATCTGCTTAATGACGATCCCACTCCACCCAGTCTTACTCTACCAGGAACTTTCAGGAGGATCACAGATCCCGACACTACGTCAGACACTTGAGTGTGTGCCACTAGCAGACAAGTTTTGTGAGGGTTAGTCCCAGGCAAAAGTCTGGGCTGTGTCGAAGGCTTCCTGACAAGGCCTACAGAGGCAAGGACCAAGAAGAGAGTAGCTTTTCCCAGGTTCTGGGGTTGGAGGTAAGAGCCACAGCCTGGTGTTTAGCTGTATCATGTCGGGATCATCCTGCTGAGGAGGATAACAGCGGGTCAGAACCATCCAGGAGAACACTGTGGCTTGGGACATGCCCAGCAGTCCCAGCCGAGAGTGGGAGAGCTGGACTACACAGCTGGGGTTAAAAGGAGTCACAGAGGCTAGGCCCTGCAGAAGGGCTGCTGAATCTGAGGGGGGAGGGAGTGAGTGGAGGGAGCAAGGGTGTGTCCAGGTATCTCACTGGAGACTCCTGGGATCCACCCCAGGATGAATGCCAGGGGCTTCCAAACAGCAGGGAAGACTTCAGGTGGGAGTTTACTGAGGAAGTGCTAAGCTTCGGGTCCTGAGATGGTGAGGGGCTTCAGTTCGCACAGAGCTCGAGGGTGGTATCCTCTCTGTCACCTGTTGTCCTGTGAAGTGGGGATATGACTGGTGGAGGAAAGGGAGGTGGCCTTGCCAGGACTGGTGTTGGAAGGACCTGGTGTGAGAGCAGAATGGGAAGCAAGAGAGGCTGAACCATCCAGGGCCAATGGCTGAGCCGGGCCGCAACCCTCCGTGTTGTCTTTCCGCTCTGGACCCACCCCTTGTGGATTCTAGTTCGTAAACCCATTAGAAACAGAGTCATGTATTCGCTGGCTTTGGGCCAGCCAGTGGGGGAGGGGTGTCCCCAGGAAGATGTTATTTCCAGACCTGGTTCTGTGAAGAGGGAACAGAAAGTGCCAGCATAAAACTGGGAGATAATCACATCCTCCCTGCTAGCCCTACCTTGCACAGCCAGGGTTAAGGACACAGAGGATCCTGCCTTCTAATCCTGTCTCCTGGGGTTGGGTCATCTGTGTGTGGCCACATGGTCACTAGATGATGCTCGGCACTTAAGAGGGCCCTGAAGCAAATAGACTTCAAGAAAGGTCAATGCTTGAGACACTGTCTCTATAAGACCCATGCCGCAGTATCTGTGTAGCTCAGTGGCAACACTGTAGACAAAGACAGGGTCACCCTTAGTGTTCTTTTGCCTTAGGCACTACTAGGTCAGCCTGGGGAGATGGATGGAAGCTGAGACTCCATCCAGCTTCTGACTCAGGTTCTAGATGTGGCCACGGTACGCTGAATCCTCAAGGGGAGGGCATTGGACTCCAACTGCCTACAGGTCTGAGCACCTGTCTTTGTGTTCTTTGCCGTGATGAGACATCGTGACCACAACAACTCTTACAAAAGGAACCATGTAATTGGGGGCTGGCTTACAATTTCAGAGGGTCAGTCCATTATCACCATGATTGGGAACATGGCAGTATGTGTGGTGCTGGGACAGTAGCTGAGAGCTCCTGAGCCACAGACAGTGTGTGTGTGTGTGTGTGTGTGTGTGTGTGTGTGTGTGTGTGTGTGTGTGAAAGAGAGAGGGGGGGGGGAGGGAGAGACAGAGAAGGAGGGAGAGAAGCTGGTGGCCTGGTGTGGGCTTAAGCAGCTTAGCATATGAGAAGAAGGTGAGGGCTTCCAAGTCAGGCCCTCGTTGGAGCAAGCAGGCCTCAAGGAGGGAGGGCTACCCAGTAGCCGAGGTTGGTATTGCCGAGAGGCACCAGTAAGTCTCCTATGGTCCTGAGGCTGCCCAGCAGGGACAGTGTGGACTTGGCCAGGACCCTAGAGCCTGACCAGCAATGTTCAGGTCTCTGAGACCAGGGATCTAAATTCCCTGAGAAAAGGGCTGGGCATCCCCATAGGGCAGCCTGGGTAGTAGTGCCCTGAGTCTCCTGCAGAGCCTAGTTTAGGGTACGAGTGGATTGGTGGGGTGTGGAGACAGGGCTGAGGGCAACTTGTGTCCTGTGCAGGAGAAGATGGTGGCTTACAGCCTACCATGACCTCCACGTGTTGAGCATCTTCCCGGGACACATTACTCTCTAGATCACCAGGCTGCTGCTGAGGAGAAGCTCAGTGGGAAGGGAGGAGAGGCCTTGATGCAGCTGCCCCACCTATCTATCCGGAGGTAACAAGGTCCTGGAGTGGTGCCCTGCCATGTGAGCCAGTCCACCTAACAGTAGGGAACCAAGCCTCTACCCAGCAGCACCGTCTTAGATGCTCTAGCCAGAGGCTGAAATTGGGGAGATGCTGAAGATGGAAACTCAGTTCAGTACACAGGCAGCAGACAGTTCTCCTGGAAGCACCTTGACCCTGGATGGGATTCTGCACACCAGCCTCTTGGGACCAAGGGTAGAGCCTCGGCTGTGCCTGTGGTAACCGTGAAAGAGAGTAGTTGAGACCAAACTTCCCCTACGGGCAGGGAGCTCAGCCTGACAGACACGGACTAGGGTGTGGATCCCAGACCTGCTATTGACTGTGATGCCCTAGCCAATAGATTCCTCCTCTGTGTCTCCATCCTCACCTCTGGGTGACGGGGAGGGGTGGAACCGAGGTTCTCCCTAGCCCCTTCCCGGTTTTGAAGACAGAAACGCTGTCTGTGATCAGAAGCTGTGGGACTCGTGTGGAAAAGGTCCCCAAGACCTTGGATAGTTGGGACTGGGAAGGTGATCTGCAAGAAATGTGGCCTTGGAAAAGATCCCAAGCTTTGAGTGAAGATGTTTGTAGCAAAGAATGCCTACCAAGGCCTACAGGTGTAAAGGGATATTCCGGACCAAGAGAATGAGATTTTGTCTGTGGGCTGACGGAGTCAAGCCTGCCTCTGTCCTATACACGTGCTGATTGGGTCATCTGTCAAGTAGGGATGTGGGACATTACTGTCAAACACATCTTCATGAGCATGGGAGAGAGTGAACATTGCTGCCTCTGGCCAGGGAACAGGCTATAGGGTGCCATTTTGTGACCACAGATTCTGTGGGGGCCTGCCGGGTCATGATAAAAAAAAAAAAAAAAAGAATGAAGTGAGCTGAAGAAGAGGAAGCTTCCAAGGATGGGGTTGAGCAACTGGGTTTAACCATTTCAAGATGTTTCTAGAACAAACGCTTTCTTTGCTGTTTCTCTGTAGGTGTCGTCAGAAGCGGCAGGTACCAGCTTCCCTTCCAGAAATCCCCAGCTTTTTAACCCAGCCTCAGGCCTGGGGAAAGCAGTGCAGGCAGTGGGGGCGGGGAGCTGCCACCTCTCTGTTGATGTCGTCAATAAGCCCACAGCCTACTCAGCTTACAGGCAGGCTTGAGACAGACAGTCGGCTGTGAGGCTGGCCGTCCTCAGCCCCTGCAAGAAACAGGTGTGTGACCTGATGTAGCTGGGGCTTCCTCGTGGAGCAGAGCTGGATGGGGTTTATCACATTTGGTGAGGCCGGGCTGGAGTCTTTGGAGTAAACGAAGCTGGGCTGGGATCTGTCAGATGGGTAAGGTGGGGGGTGGGAGGGGCGGCGGTGCTTTGTCAGATGAGGGGGCCTGGGCTGGGGTTCATCAGGGGAGGTGAGGGTGGGGCTGAGCTGGGCCGTGGGTCTGTCAGTTAGGTGGGGTTTGGCTGGGGTCTGGCAGATAGGTATGCTTATAGATAGATATAGCCCAGTCCCAACTGTGCTGGGAACGCGGTTCTCAGGAAGCTGGCAGAAGCGCTCACGCTCAGGACCAGTGCATTCTTCTTCCTAGGGGTTGAGGTGGGGAGGGGATGACGTGAACAATAAGTGCATAGTAACTCGGGGTGTTTCTGGGCGGTGGTGCCTCCCTCTCCTGAGACTCCCAAGTCTGTTTTGTAGGTGATGTCTTGTACCTGAAAGCTAGAAAACTGTGCCTTTGAGAGGAGCAGCGAGCTTTCAGCCACCTGCCTCTGCGGGCCCTGGGGCATTTCCGTAGGGGTCCATGCTCCAGCGCCTGTGGTTTCAGAGCCTCTGCAGGATCCATTTAAGAGTGCTTTGTTCCTGCCCCCAAACCCCAGCCAGTGAGTGGGGACCCTAGGCCTGCCTGATTATGAGCAGACAAGCACTTGGGGGTCTGTGGGTCCCCATCCAGACATCAGGATGGGTAAGGGAGCAGGCTCCGGTGAGCTCAGCTTTCCGTCTGCCTCCCATAGACTTCTTTCCTGGCTGGTCAGTGCTGAAGCCATAGGACAGCCTTCTGCTTGTTTGTACATAAGGGAGCTTGATCTTGCCCACAAAAGTGAAAGAAAGGGTCTGTGCTATGCACAACTGGCTTCCCTTCTCATGCCAGCTCCATGTTTTACCCCGGGTAGGCAGTTACTCGCCTGAAAGCACCGTTTCCCCAACCTGGCAGCCCCTGGCAACTTCTCCAGACCAAGCTGTGAGCTTCTTGTGGGAAGGATGCCAAGTGCCTGCTGAGGGCGACCCGCCTGCCGCACTGAGGCAATTGGAAGTGTCTGACTTCAGTTCCCTACGCTATACCAAGGCAAGGCTAGGACATGCTGGCTGTCACTGGGCTCTGGGATTCTGCAGGGAGGTATCCTGAAGGAGCAGTGTTCCATGAGCTCTGTGGGCACCCTAACCTCTTGGAACTTTTGAATCCCTCTTCCTTAGGGTTCTAAGCAGTGACCCCCACATCTCACACTCACAGGTTTCAGGTCGCAGAGAAGCCAGGCAGCCCCTTCCATGCCCAGAGGCAGAGAGTGAGAGTGTGGGGGTGGGGCTGCATTTTCAGGTGAAGGGGACTCAGCTGGGAGCCCAGCCACTGGCAGCATGGAGCTCTTCCCCACAGGTAGCCCAGGACCCAGTCTGTCCTGCTCCTGGATGCTGCTATTGGACACTGAACACATGCCCAGGGATGTGTTCTGCTGGAGGCACCCCAGGTTGCTTCTGGGTGAGTGTCTCTGGGAGTGCAAGGCAGACTGGAAGGGTCATCTAGTAATCTGTGCGGGGTGGGGGGGGGCATCTAGTAATCTGTGCCGGGGGAGGAGGGCTCTGGGGACATCCTCAGAGCTCAGCCTGGCTCAGGGTCCCTCCAGGGTCTTCAGAAACCTGGGTTGTGTGAAAAACTCCAACCAAACAGAAACAAACAGAAACCGCAGAGCATGGCCCATGAAACTGTGATTGCTGGCATTCGGCCCATTCGAATATGGCAGGTACAGAATCTAGACACAAACTATGATGGCAGAATATCCAGCTCGGCTGGAATCCGTGCCTGACTTCTCTAATGGACTGTGGGCCTGTAGGTTCCCTGGAGACCAAAGAGGAAATGAGCCCTGGCTCAATCTAGTGTGCATTAACCTCCCTGTCTGCAAATCCCTGGTCTGAGTGCTTGTCCATTTCCATTGTGGGGAAGGTTGATGCCTTCCACGTCTCCAAGGCAGATAGTCAGCTAGGGCCTGACTCTCCCTGGAGAGTACAGTTCTTCCTTTCCTGTCGTCTTCCCCTGTAGAAAATCCTAAACTTATGACTCACCCAATCCTGCAGCCCTTCCTGGCCCTGGTACCCAGCGAGGAACAAGGGAGTGGGCCAGGCATCCAGTGTGCCTGGGCTCAGCACTTGCTGACAGTTTCTCGAGTTGGTTCCCACCCATTGCCGTGCCACCTGCCACGCCCTAGATGTCAGACCACCGCCCAAGCTACCTGGGTGGGGCTTGATGGGATTAGTAACTCCCCTTGGGCCTCACTGTAGAGAGTAGACGGGCAGTAAAGGGCCAGTGTGGACAGTGGAGGGTGGCCTTGGGGGTGTTCCTGACAGTGGCAATGGCATAGGCCTCTGGGCACATCCAGGTCCTGGAGGTACAGGGCTATGACTTCTGGGAACTATGTACCTCTGAGGTCAAGGTGGACACCCCGATCTCAGATATGAGCCTGGAATGGGTCCTTGGGATGATACAGGCTTGGTGGTGGTGCCTCAGAAGTTTCCACAGCTTTCCAGGGGTGATCTCGCTTTTATATACCTTCTGTTGCCATGTGCTTCAGAGGCAGACCAGACAGAGTGGGTGCCGAGCGTATCTGTGAATTAAGTGTAGGCGTCTTCTTACAGTCAGGTTGGGGGCAGAAAGATGCATGGCCCAGCCTTGGGATCCTTGCACCCATAGGTAGGGCTGCTCTGAGGCCTCCCTGCTGAGAGCTGCATGCTGAATGAGGCTGGTGGGCATCAGTCTCTGCTGAAGACTTGAGTTCTAGAGAGTTGGAGCTTCCTGGATAGGACCTGTGGACCCTCCTCCCACCCCCTCTCCCCTGCAGCAGGCTGGCCCAAGGAGAGGAGGGCCAGGGAGATTGGAGGAGTCGTTCTGTCTCTGGCTTTGGGCTGGTCACTGCAACATTAGGTCTTCCTCCATCTCTGGAGGCTTTGGTCTCCCTGCCTGTCCAGTGAGAGAAGGTTAGGCCTGGAGGGTGATTTTGAGATTTCTACAGTTTCTATGGTTTCTTTGGAAAGGGGACTTTCACAGTGTGGTGCATGCTTGCTCCAGAATTCCTGTACAGAGGTGGGCAGGCCCTGGGACAGGGGCAGGGCCTTATCCTGGGTCTCCTCCTTCTACCTACCCTCACTGATTTCCCGACTCTCCTGAAGCTCCAGGACCATGAATGCAACTTGCAACAGCACCCTGTGGCCTGAGTCGCTCCACTACGTCTTCGGTGTCTACTTGATCTTGCTGCTGGTGCTGGGCCTGCTGCTCAACGGCCTGGCGCTCTGGGTGTTCTGCTGTCGCATGCACCAGTGGACGGAGACCCGTGTCTACATGACCAACCTGGCTGTGGCTGACCTCTGCCTGCTCTGTTCCCTGCCATTCATGCTATATTCCCTGAAATCCACTAAAGATACACCAGTCTGCCAGCTTTCACAGGGCATCTACCTGGCCAACAGGTACATGAGCATTAGCTTGGTCACTGTCATTGCTGTGGACCGCTACGTGGCAGTGCGGCATCCCATACGCGCCCGTGAGCTGCGGTCCCCAAGAAAGGCTGCCGCAGTGTGTATGGCTCTCTGGGTGGTGGTGCTCTCTTCCCTGGTAGTGCGCTGGCACCTGGGGCTGCAGGAAGGTGGCTTCTGCTTCAGAAACCATGGCCGGCACAATTTCAGCACCATTGCCTTCTCACTGCTGGGCTTCTACCTGCCCCTGGCCATCATGGTCTTCTGCTCTTTGCAGGTTGTGATCGCCCTGGGGCAGAGGCCGACCACTGATGTGGTGCAGGTAGAGGTCACCCGCAAGGCCACCCACATGATCTGGGCCAATTTGGCAGTGTTTATCATCTGCTTCCTGCCCCTGCATGTGGTCCTGACGGTGCAGTTCTCCCTGGGTCTAAACACCTGTGCTGCCCGTTCCACCTTTAGCCGTGCCCTGTCCATCACAGGCAAACTCTCAGATGCCAACTGCTGCCTGGATGCCATCTGTTACTACTACATGGCCAAGGAGTTCCAGGATGCATCCAGGTCAGCTGTGCCCTCCAATGCTCCCCACAAGAGCCAAGATACTCAGAGCTTGACCCTCACCTAGAAGCATGCGCCATGGACCAGAGGAACCTGTGATATTATCAAGGAACCCCCAAATCATCCTGAGCCTGACGTGGGTTTTGAACACTCTAGGAAGCTCAGGCGGCCTAGAGAGAATGTATCTGCTCCCCTGAAGAGACCAGAGGACTGAGACTAAAGACCAACTTGAAGGACCCTGGAACCTGCCACCCTGGACCTAGAACCCCTGAGGCACCAGAATGGGGCCTTGATGGCCAGCCACTGGGTTTAGAATAGAGCTCTCCCCTGGACACGGTCCTGACAGGGCCCTCGGTGTCACCCAGATGCAAGCGATGAGATGCAAAGAGGAACATAGAACTTAAAGAGTCAGGAGATCTCTTCCAAGAGGACCATCTAATGGATGCCTCCTCTAGAGACTTCCAGACTTCATGCTTCCTGTAGGGGTGGCTGTGGTTTGGAAGGCTGTCCTCTATGGCACACGGCTGTCAGTGTTGCTCAGGCTCCGTCTCCAGGGAGGTTCCAGTTCAGAAGACCCTGTGGTCATAAAGCTATGCTCAACACAGTAACACGCTGCTGTTGAAGCCCTGAACCTCTTGGTGGTGTTTTCATTTTGTAGTGGGCCCGTTGATCACAGGGTCAATGGCTGTGGTGGTAGTCTTCTGGAGTTTGTTATGAGGAAGATTGACATTTGGCCTGGTACCTGCTCTCTCTGAGGATGTGGCCTGCAAAGATAGGCTTCAAAGCCAGCTTAGGGACTGGAGAGATGACTCAGAAGTTAAGAGCACGGCTGCTCTTCCAGAGGTCCTGAGTTCAATTCCTAGCAACCACATGGTGGCTCACAACCATCTATAATGAGATCTGGTGCCCTCTCCTGGTATGCAAGCAGAACACTGTATTCATAAATAAATCTTAAAAACAAACCAAAGCCAGCTCAGAGCCAGAGCACATTTGGAGGTGTTGATAGTCCTGGCCTTTCTCCCTCTGTGCTTTATCTTTTGTCTTGGCCCAAATGCTGCAACCAGAGCCCTTCCAACTGGGAGTTCCTCCCCAGACTCCCAACTCCCACTTCATCCTGCTCTTATTGGCACCTCTTTTGCCTGACCTTTTCTGCAGAAACCAAATGTCTGTTTACCCTCCAGACACCAAAGAAAGGATTCCATCCAAGTCCAGACAGGTGAACCAGTTTGCTGGAGTTACTTACTAAAGCTTGGTGACTCCATGGTGACGCCATTACTGAAAAGCCTCACTCAGCATGGGTGACAACTCACAAGAACAGCACCGATAGATGACCAATCCCTAGGAAACGTCCACCTCGTATAGACCTGGACACCCGCTCCAGACAAGATGCAGATGGGGTCTGGGGGAGTGGAGGCTGGAACTTCAGGGCTGCTGACCCTCGTGTCCCTGTAAAAGCTAACAGCTTCGGGACCAACACCAGTCTGTTTACCACAGTAGTATTTTGCTAATTTCATTGTCATGACTGTGGGCCAAGGTCTTCAGTGGATCATAGCAGCAGTGTTCTTGCTCATGGCTGATGATCATGCTAAGCTAGAGGAAATGGCTTTCCTACCACACTTGACCACGTTTCCTTCAGCTCCTCTTTCGACACTCTACAATATTCTCTGAACCTTTGCCTTGGAAAGTATGTTGTATCCACATGTATCTATATATAAATATATAATACACACGTGTGTGACTGTGATTCTTTTCTGAGTATTATGCCTCTAGACTATAAGAACAGACACTTTCTCTAAATGGCCTGACCATGGTAGAAGAAACAAAGCCTCAGGAGAGGATGAAATAGATCATTTGGGGCCCCCGGAGCACCTCCTAGTGTGTATCAGTAGGCTTCCTGCCCACAACACCGTCAGAGCACCTGCCTTGATGAAGATAGCCCTCTACTTTTCTCATCCTCTTTGTAGCCACAGTTTTTGGGAGACACCCCATGCTCCCATAGGCTAGACTTGATCAACTGTCAGGATGCAGAAGAAATGGGTGGAAAGCGAAGGACGGAGTCTTCACACAAAAGCTGCAAAGTTAGCATGCTAAAAAATATGAAGAGGCAGTGAGAAGCCTCATCTGGTGAAGGTGCTTTCAGTCAAGTCCGACATTCTCAGTTTATGCCCTGGAACTAGCATGGTGGTAGGTGTTATGGTTAATTGTCTCTTTACGAGACAAGCCACGCCCACTCCCAGTGACCCCTGCCCTTCTCTCGCCATCTTGATTCTCACCTATCCCTCTTGGCGCATGCGCGCCCTCTCTATCAGGCCCTTCTCTGTCTCTCTCCTTTCTCTTCTCCTTCCCCCCCCCCCCCCAAGTAATAAATATCCAGTTCCATTCTGTATGATGTGTCTGTCCATGTGCCTTCTACCCGCTGCCTGCTCACACCCCCGGGCTTGCTGGGACCAGCCCGCCCACCATGTGTCTCCATGCCTGGACGGCAGCCGTCCCTGCCTGGGACTAGCTGCTCTGCAGGCCCGCTGCCTACTGCTGCCAGGGATCTTGCAGCATTTTTAACAGTAGGAGAGAACCATATCCTACAAGCTGTGCTCTGGCCCCACACATACCCCAGATGGCCGGATGGATAGATAGATAGATAGATAGATAGATAGATAGATAGATAGATAGATAGATAGATAGATAGATAAAAATAGCATAGTAGGAAACCCTGTAGGCAAAGAGGAAGACTGGACCCCATACCTACCACTACCGGCCAAGGCCAACTAGAACTGGTGAGAGCCACTGGAGCAGAAGCTGGGACACTCCAGAGCATCTGAATATGACCTCTGACTTGTTAGAAACTGCATGTGACAGAGCATTCGTGAGAAAGCTCATGCTATACAAACAACTTCCCCAAAGCCCACTCTGCGTGTACTGGCTGGTTTGGTTTTGTTGTCAAGACAAGCTAGAGTCATCTGAAAAGAAGGAACTGCAATAGAGAAAATGTTCCTGTAAGACTGGCCTGTAGGCAATCCTGTTTTCTTAATGATTGAGTGATGTGGGCTTTATTCATAATAGCCAGAAGCTGGAAACAACCTAGATATCCCTAAACAGAAGGATTGATAAAGAAAATGTGGTACTTTTAAACAATGGAGTAAAAGTACTCATCCATTAAAAAAAAAGACATCATAAAATTCAGAGATAAATGGATAGAACTAGAGGGAAATCATCCTGAGTGAGTTAGCCCAAACCCAGAAAGTCAATCTGGTAAGTATTTGCTTATATGTAGGTATTAGCTGTTAAGTCAATGATAACCAAGCTACAATCTGTAGAACCACAGAGAGGGGGTATAAAGAAAGAGAGTAGGGGTTGACAGCTAGATCCATTGAGAAAGGGAAATAGAATAGTTATGGATGGATGGAGGTACTGGAATGGAAGAATCAGGGGGGGGGGGGAAGAGGGAGATGAGGGAAAGAATGTGGAGAGAGACAGCTAAAATTAAGGGCAATTTGAGAGCAGTACTGAAACCTAATACAGTAGAAGCTCCCTAAAATATATACAATATCAAGGTGATCTAAATGAAATCAACAAATAATAGGGAAGACGGAGTCCCAACAGGCCATCTCTTGTCACTAAATGAAGTTTCCAGTGCAGGGATTGGGTTACATATAATTGAGTTATTGGCCAAAGGGGTGCCATGGGACTCCCCAAACAGCCCAGGCTGTTGCCAGGACTGTAAGTTGCTCTCCGTTAACTGACAGCAAGGCCTCAACCCCTACAGAACTCATCAAACATGGAGCAGCCAAGTTGTTGTCTACAGAGAGCATCCGCCCCTACGTCTGGCATCTTTGGTACGGGAAGATACTCTCCACACCACCAAAAGAGAAACAGAAATCCCAAGTCAGCCACAACCTTTTGATCTACAATGGTGTCCTGACTGCAGAGACACGCTAGGGCAATGGTGGCTCAAAGCTTGTGGGAGTCACCAACCAATATCTGATCTGGCATAAGGACCATTCCACGAGATGGAACCCATACTCTGCATTGCTTGGGTGACCAATAACCAGAGACTAGATAGTGTGGGGTATGTATCTGCCCAGGTTAAAACCAAATACTAATGTTCTAACAACAGCAAGAAGACAGCAATAAAATGACTTTTAATGATATTCTGCTGTGCTTACAGAGCGGTTCCTTGCTCAGCCATTAACAGAGAATCTTTCCAATACAGAGACCCACAAACAGACATTCTACAGAGAGTGAAAGACCTTGGGACACTCAGTCCTACATGGGATGTCTCTATCAAATCTCTCCTCTTAGGACTCAGAGAACCCTGAGAAAAAAAGAGGCAGGAAGAGTGTAAAAGTCAGAGGGGATAGAGGATATCAAGAAAGCAAGGCCCTCTAAATCAGCATGATCAAACGAATAAGAACTCACAGAGACTGAGGCAGCAAGCATGGGGCCTGTGTGTGTGTACATACACAGGTCCTTTGTGTATCTATTATGGCTTTCAGTTTAGTGCTTTTATGGGATTCCTGAGTGTGTAAACAAGTAGATCTCAGATTCTTGTGACTTCTCTTGGGCTCTTTTCCTTCTGTTTGTCTTGTCCAACTCTGAGGTGACAGTTTTTGGTTTACCTGATTATATTTTATTTTGTTATATTTTATTGTCCCTTAGAAGCCTGTTTGCTTTCTAATGAGAGACAGCAAGGATTAGCTCTGCATAGGAGGGAGGTGAGAAGGAACAGGGGTGGGGGAGAAATGGAAAGGAAACCATAAATCAGGGTATATTATGCATAGAAAACAATCTATTTTCGATAAAAGGAAAAAAGTGGCAAGCCTGTTTTCTTAATGAGTGATTGATACAGAGGGCCAGGCCCATTCTGTATAATGGCACCCCTGAGCAGGTGGTCCTGGAATATAGAAGAAAGCAAGCTGAACAAACACTGGAGAGCAGGCCAGCTCCTGCAAGGACTTTCCTCGGTGACAGAGTATGGCCTGAGGGCTGCGAGATGAAATGCACTTTCTCCCCAGATGGGTTTTTATTGTGGTGTTTTATCACAGCAATAGAAACCCCAACTGAGACTCTATGCAAATGATGCCAAGAACCCATGCGTGCCATCTCTGTTTGAGCTCCTAAACTTCCTCCATGTACCAGCCTGCTTTATGTCTTTTGAAAGTGGATCATTTCTTAATAGATTCTCTTGCTTTGCCAGCTGCTATCCACATGTCTCTGTCCAACTCCTTGCTTGGGATACCCGGAACCCCTTCAGAAATGCTGTTGAACTTAATAACGTTTTGGCAAGCCACCCAAGAGGCAAGTCTTATGTGTCCAACCTCTTTAAACAAGTTATTCATTCTAGAGGTTTCTGAGAGGAGCCACCTCAACTGTGGGCATGGGTCAAGGAATTACATGCTACACCTGAAGACTCCCGTGACAGGATAATGCCGTTGTGAGCCGCGGTTGTGCGCCAGGACGCTGTGAAACCACAGCAGCTTCCTGCTAAGAGTAGTAACTTGAAAGGAGCCTAAAATGCTACCATTCTCTCTCTCCTCTACTTTGAGGAGACAAAAAGGACAAAAACAAAGGTGTGTTTGAACCCTCTCTCTCTAACAATAAGACCTTGACTGCTTGGAGCCTAAACCAGCCACTAGTCAAGCGACCACAGCCTAACTAGTAATGACCGCTGACCCCTCATACTAAATGGCTAGTCTCTGGATGGGCAAACGGCATCACAAATGTACCTATCCAAGAAGATACTAAGTTGCCCTCCTTTGAGCAATTTGCATAAGATCTCCACACATTGCCAAAGAGGCAAGGCCAAGTCACTTTCTTAACTGCTATAAAGGGACCCAGTTCCTCCTGGGGGTAGGTGGTAATTATCTTGAGAATTTCCTTACTATGATGGACTCCATAGTGTTCGTCCTTTACTGCAATTCATGTGTCAGTTCTGCTTTAGTAAAACCTTTGTTCCCTGGGATCCTTCTTTTCAAAATATTTTGGCAGCCTCCTGGGGGAAGCTCACCCCTTGCCTTGATTCTTTAGAAGATGATGTTTGTAGTGACCAGCTCAGCTGTTCACTTGTAATTGGAGACCTGTGTCTGGGTCACATCTTGGGCAGCGTGGAAGCTTCTGCACTGTGACTCTGGCCTGCTATCACCCACCAACATATTAGCTAAAAAGTTACTTTGACCCTCTGTAGAAAGTTTTTCTTCTTCTTTGCAATTGACAGATCCTGAGAACTTTAGCAGAGCTTGAAGCAGGTCCAGCCATTATAGTCTGTAAGGGCAAGGACTACATTTCTTCCTTCTAAAAGTTCCCTCACCCGAAATTTGCAGAACAGGGAGAACGGCATCCAGCTAGAGCAGTGGTTCTCAACCTGCCCAGTGCTGTGACCATTTAATACAGTTCCTCATGTTGTGGTGACCCCCAGCCATAAAATTATTTTCATTGCTACTTCACAACTATAATTGCGCTACTGTTATGAATCGTAGTGTCAATATGCTTTCTGATGGTCTTAGGTGACCCCTGTGTTAGGGTTATTCAGTCCCCAAAGGGATTACAACCCACAAGTTGAGAACCACTGATCTAGAGTGACCCCCACATGTTTTGAGGACCCACTCATTTCTCTCTCCTCTTGGTCCTTTCCTCACCCCGGCACTTGCCCCACCCTTCAGAACAGAAGGGAACAGAATGGCGGAGGTGTCTGAGTCTGCTGTCTCCTTCCCAGCCAAACTGGTTGACTTCCGG